CGACTACTGAATGTTACAGGTGTTACAGGAGTGATACATCTCCTGTTGTCAGGCCTGCAGGTATCAGGCTGTTGTTCTCCTTTATCTAATAGTGGACAGAAATTATTTTTGGAGTGGCACAAATAATCTGTGTGGCATCAAATTTGATGCAGAACAGCTGATTGTTCTGTAAATAGTTTTAAATGTTTATTTTAAAAAAACACCTTGGCTGCATTTTTAGAAAAAAAAACTTTGTGTTGGGTAATAGGGTTGTCGGGGACGACTGACCCCTTAGGTGGGGGCTATGTAGCGGATCAGGGCTGTTTTGGGCTTTGACAGTTATGTTCTGTTGTTCCAGGCGGCAGCGTTATGTTGCCATGGTTACAGTGTGATGCGTTCTCTCTGTGCGACTGTGTGTTTTCTGGGTGGAGAGAGCACCTTTGTTGTTATTATGCTAAGCTACGCCGAGCAGTTGGACACTGTGTTCAGTGTTGAGAAAACAAACAACTGTGCTTCCTGCCAATTCGGGGAAGCAAGACCAAACAACACCTCTGTCTCCTCCTTGTCTGAGCTCATCACAGTATGTTCTCAGTTAAAGCTTGAACTTTTAACTTCAGGATTGTGACAAGTACAGAATTGGCTTTAAATACTTTAAATACTTATTAACTTGTTCACTACAGTTTAAGACACAGTTGTGCAAGACTGTGATGGCCATTGAAGAGAAGGATAACATGATGTTTTCTTGATATTATTGATCCCTGAACAGCTTACCTTCTGCTAGTGGGCACAGCTTCCTCCAGCAGGTAATGCCACCCTCCTGGGTAAATTGCCCTATAGTTGTCTCCAGCAGGAACACGGGTACACCACAGGTTATCACCTGAATGAAAAACATACACAGCAAACATACCTGTTGTGCAGCTTCTGAGTAACAAGCTTACTCAATTACCGACGGACCAGGCATATATTTTTAAAACAAAACATATATCAGTTGTTTAAACATACTACCAGAATTAAGACAACATATTGGGAAGTTATCAAATGAAATTTTTACTAATTAATTATTTGATTGGTACGTTTACTACTA